GAGACTGTTCCCGGGTTCACTCCAAGATTCAGAGATGTATAATGTCCTAAGTTCCGCTCTATTTATATATGGTGTCCCAAATAACCGTACATCCTAAATGTTCTTATATATAGTGTCCCAAATTTCCTAATATGTGGTGTTCCAAAGTTCTGAATTTTAGGAGCCAAATTTTCATAGATGCTTCCGTTACACCCCCCCCTTCTTAAATTGTGATGTGATTAACGCAATTACAATATAGAGAAGACTTCCAAAACGATGCTGAAATTAATAATCATGTGTGTCCCAGGTTATTGTAGGTCCCAAATAACTACGTCCCTGTGTTATATAATATCCCAGGTAATTGCGTCTCAAAGTGATTGTACCTCCCCCAGTGGGTTATTGCACCGCCCAGAGGGAGGGAGGGAGGGAGGGAAAGAGGAAGTCGAACCGTAGCCTGGAAACAATCTCCCTCCCCCACCCATCCCTACCCCCGACCCCACCCCTACCCCCCACCCCCACAGTCTGTAACGTGACCTCGCGTACAACAAAGGCTCTCCCGTGATGAGCACAGTACTAACTCCTAATTACTGCACTCGGTATTGTCTTCCTCACGTGGCAGAATCATGAGAGAGGGAAAAAAATTGAATTAGCTGTAACCCGGTGATGGTGTGGGTAATGTAATTAGGGCTTATGACTCCCCATAGATAGATAGGTAGACGTACAATTTTACATTGATCCAGCATTAATACTAGACAATGTAAGTATACAACGTAAATATACTGTACAGTGCAGGTACACAATGTCCCTAGAGTAGGCAGTGCAGGTATACAAACATTAATAAACAGTTATACGTAATATTTCAGTGCGTTATATGCATAATGTATATAGTTAGTTTCAGTAGAGAAATAAATAGCTTCTCTATGGCATATTCACAAATGACCATAACTATAAATAATGGAAGCAGATAAAGACAAGGGGTGACTTAATAGAAGTTCATAAGCACATCAGAGGACATGAACAAAAGGTCCCCAGTGATTGGAAAAGGGCTCATGTGAGTCCTGTCGTCAAGAAGGGCGATTGTCACTCCACGAACAACTATAGACCGGTGAGCCTGGCCAGCATAATATGCAAAATGCTTTTGAGTATTATCAGAGATGCCGCGATGGAACATCTACTACGAAGCAACATTGTAAAGGATTGCCAGCACGGTTTTATGCTGGGGCGCTCCTACTTAACACAATTGCTCAAGGTATTGGATATTTGGACCCATATTCTGAAACGGGGTGGAAATATCGACAATATATACCTAGATTTTGCCAAGGCTTTCGTCAGTGTACCCCAAGAAAGGCTGAAAATCAAACTGGAAGGGTACGGAATTCGGGGAAATGTCCTAGCATGGATAGAAGATTTTCTCCATGACCACAAGCAGTGTGTGGTGATTAATGTACGAAATCATCATCTGTACCTGTCACAAGCGGGGTACCACAGGGCAGTGTATTGGGCTTGCTGTTGTTTGTTTGTTTCTTAAATGACATGCCTGACGTTGTACACACCTCCATACAAATGTTTGCCGATGGCGCCAAGTTATTTCGGGAATCAAGAACCAAGCGGACTGTGAAGAGCTGCAAAAGGATCTCTGTGAGCTGCAAGAATGGTTGAAGAAATGGCTGCTGAGATACAATGTCACGAAGTATAAAAGGATGCACCTGGGTCGTACCAACGGTAAGGAGGCGTATCATTTGTCCCAACGGGATGAAGAAACTGCGCTAGTTGAGTCTGTGTGTGAAAAGGACCTAGGTGTGTATGTTGACAATGAGCTGAAGTTCTCGGGCCATTGTGAGAAGAAGGTAAATCAGGCAAATAAACTATTGAGTCTAATAAGAAGGTCGTTCAGATATCTAGACGGGTCCGTCCCTCGTAACGATCTTCAGGAGTGAAGTGCTTCCCCATCTGGAGTACTGTCACCCCGTCTGGTCCCCGAGATATGCTAGGGACTGTCAGTTGGTTGAAAATGTTCAAAGGAGGGCCACCAGACTGGTGCCTGCACTTCGGCAACTCAACTACCCTGAGAGATTGGAGCGCCTGAACTTGTCTAGCTTATACTACAGACGGGGTGACCTAATTGAGCTGTATAAGCATCTCAAATGGCACTACTCAGTCGAGTGTCCTTACTTGGAGCTGGCGGACGCTCGCCCTACACAGGGCCACAGCTCAAGATTGAAGAAGCCGCAGGTCCAGAAAACTGTGAGGGCAAACTTTTTCGGAGTGAGGGTTGTGAACTCTTGGAACAATCTGCCAGAATGTGTTGTGAGTTCTTTCAAGACCAGACTTAACCAACACTGGAGCAGGTTCAGGTACATTCAGGTGTACTGCGCACATCATTGTCATTCCTAAAAACCCATTTTAATTCATATTACGCTACATAGCATTCAAATCCACCGCGCTTGTAGAATCTCAGGAGAGACGTGTTTTTCCCATCTGTTTTGCCCTCAGGATCACTCCCAGTAAGTCCCGCCTTCGAACACAGTTGTCACTACGTTTATTGCACTCTCTACTGGCAAACGCAACCTTGAATTAGTCTGTGTAAATCAACTTTAGTAATTCGCCGGACCTTTGTCAAGTGAGGGTCATCCTTGAATGAGTAGCATTTAGATTGTTTGTAATTTCTGTCATTGCGTGAGTAGCGATCGCTGGCAACTCAGGGGTATATAAACCAGTGTGAGGCGGGAGGAATAAACCTCCCATATCATCTTTCACCTTCGTTCCCAGGTATGTTCTGTGTTTATCAGCATTCAGTTTGATTCAGTCTATTGTAGTAAATATCAGTGTTCATGCTTTAACAGTGGAATTGTCATTCAACCAGTGTACGAAGTAATATAACGTAAATCTCTGACGTGGCGAGACTGAACATTTGTTTGTGACCCACCATGCTTCCCCAAAAAACCTCCCATATCATCTTTCACCTTCGTTCCCAGATTGAGGGTGGGCTTAATTGAAACCCACCAGTCGCTCGGAGCCGGTGGATACCCAGCAGTGGTCAATATAGGAGTGATGGTGCTGATTCGGCATGATTTATCAGCTCCACTCTGCCTCGTGGGCCGAGGACCCCAGACCCACCTCTTGTCTGAGTGTAACAGACCACAACAGTAGTTGTTAGAGGCTCCAGTGCTATACCCTGGGACAGGCCTTGGAGTTATGGTCCACAGTGTGGTTGTATGTGTTTGTTAATAATTACCCCATGTTGGGTGGTGGACCCATGTAGGTGTTTGTATCAGTATTAGTGTATTGGGAGTAAGGACAAGGAACTGGTCCTGCGATGTAATGTAAGGTGACACCAGTTATTGTGTGCACGGTAAGAGTGTAATATCTGAGTAATTGCTGTTGAGTAAATAAGAAAATAAGTAAATAAGGAATACAGAGTCTGCAATAGGCCCAGGAGTTGAGCCTGGTAGTTATATGTTAATAACATCTATTTTCCCCTTTGATTTTATATTAATAAACTTGTTCTTTGAGAATTTTAGGAGTATTCATTTCTCCCACAGTAGTTACCTTTATTTCCGTCCAAGTGATCTCGATATCAGAATTACACTACCCATGTGCCTAGACCATCGACATGCTACCAAGAAGAACTGTGGTTAGGTAGTACCAAAAATGAACTGAAGTGAGTAGAAGGAACATTTAAAAAGACTAAGACAGGTTGTGGTTTCACCCTTCTTTCCCCTTATCGATCTGGTCAATGAAAAGCCTAACCCAATGCCTAGTCCACTCTGCACTCTACCTAACGAGCTACATGCTGTCCAGAGTGGGTCTAGTGGCAGCGACCCTTAGACATTAAGATTAGATTTAAGTATTCCCCCTTAGGATTAGTGACCCCAGTCTGGCAGTATACAGGAGCCGGTGCATGCCTAGTACTTGCCAACAGTGCGTGACAGAGACGTGACCGATCGCCCAAGCGGCTAACGAGCCGATCAGCGGTGAAGAGGATAAAAGTAAACGTATTACTCAGTCGAATGTTCGTGTGTGGAGCTAGTGGATGCCTGTCCCACTAGAGGTCACAACCTCAGATTAAAGAAACCAGGAGTTCAGAAAATTGTGTGAGCGAACTTTTTTGAAGTAAGAACTGCAAACTCCTGGAATAAATAACTTGCTAGAAAACGTTGTAACGGCACCAAGTGAGAGCTCATGAGCTCATTTAAGACTAGACCATTGGCACATGTACCATACATTCTGGGGCTAGTACAGTCGCTAAAACAACTATCTGTGCAGGTGGAGGTGACTAGTGGCAGCCCTCATATACCAAAAATTATCGACCATGGTGTCATATTGTTTCCCACAAAGTATGCACAGACAGTTGTTTTAGCTACTTACTGTACATGACCAGTACATACCAACAGTGAGTAACAGGTCATTCTGGATGTTATCAAGTGTTCTGGAGTGGGATTAATACGTTGCTCTATAGATGGCAGGTGGTAGAGCCCTCATTAGTGACGTGTATTATCATGTTAAGTAGGCAAACAATGATTACCAAGTTTCCAATGTGTTTTATCTCGGAGAACTGGTGGCGAAAACACCCATATTTAATCTATTTGAAAATCCTACTGCAGATAATTATAATGGTTTTTAAGCAAATAACTTAAGCAATTAACTTAAAAAAAATATTATACGTTAAAACTTAAACTAACACGAAGTACAAACGTTTAACATAAAACATAAACTATCTAAATTTGAGCATTTTACATATTCGCGTGGGTCTTTACCGTAGGATAGTGTTATCTGCAGGTTACAAATTTACTGAGATATTATCTCTCGGTGTTACACCAGGATGGAAGGGTCTTTTAAACTGGCAAAAAAGTAGCCTACATCATAAATTAAGATAAATAGCACTATATAAAGGATATAAAAGTTAGGCATCATAGAACCATTTTCTATAATGAGTCTTATTTCTGTGCCAGAGCCGTCTGTTGGGGAGATAGAAAACGTGTGCGTCGTCTGCTAATGTTTACTAGGAGGCGGCAGTCAGTGACAGTCTGGCAGAGATGGCGGGCAGGGGAGCATGTACCACCGGCTTTGCTGTCTGCATATTTTTAGTCACGTGCGGTGCCACATCTCGTGTGATGAGCCTCGATTCAGAGTAAGTTTCTTTTTTGTTCCCTCATTGTGTTCTTACAGGTCAGGCTTCTAAAAGTATTAATATAGTCTACTCAAATATGCTCATAGTGTCAACTGATCGAATCATGACAGTATGTCAGGTTCGAGACGGATTCATTTTGGGTTTGTTTATAATGGATAAATAGATGAATGTGTAAGTTTGATTTGAAAATATAATAGTTTGTAACAAAAAATCCTAACTGTTGTTTTGTTGGCTTGATAATAATTTGGCCTGGAAGATATTTCTGAAAAAAGTATAGCGAGAACTTTAATCATTTAAAGGTCTGTATTTATTGATGAGTCATGTAAACAACGTAAAGTGATACAGATATTTAAAGATGTCTAGCATAGACGTATTGCATATGTGCTTCTTGTTAATTAAGCTAATATTTAATGATGCGCGTATATATATATATATATATATATATATATATATATATATATATATATATATATATATATATATATATATGTAAATCACCTAGTTCATGTGTAATCTACATCTTCAGGGGTGAGTACAGACTAGGAATTACACGAAAGCGCTTGGGAACTTCGTGTTTTCTTTCTTTCCTTGTGGTTATCAGTATATATATATATATATATATATATATATATATATATATATATATATATATATATATATATATATATATATAATGAGTATGATTAGTACAATATTTTAATATTTATTATTAATGTAATGATCATAATGAATATGATGTGTATGTCGATAATGACTATGTGTATAATGAATATTACTATTATAATACAGTGTGCATGGTGATGAGTATTATGTGCTTAATGAGTATAATAACAATGCGTAGGATGAAGAGAATAATGAATATAATGAGTATGATTAAAATATTGCGCACAACGAGTTGGATTTGGTTAGTATAAAGTATGGTTAGATTAGGACTAGTTTAGGATAGGTTAGGCACACTTTTGCTATCAATTCTGTGTATCCATCCTGGTGGGGTGTAGGCCTAGTGCCTATGACTGCAATTGAAATTCTTCGACAGTGATATCTGAAGCTGATCAATTCTGGAATTATCCAGAGCATTATGGGAATTTCCTAAATGTGCACCATTTTAGGAATTATCGTAATGCCCTGGCCGATTCCAGAATTGTGCTGTGAGTGTTATGAGAATCATTGTCAGTAAGAGAATCCTGCACTAATTTATATACAGGGTATATATATATATATATATATATATATATATATATATATATATATATATATATATATATATATGTGTGTGTATATATATATATAAAAGACAGTTTTAGGCCCTGTAATAGAATTATGTTATTGTACAGTCTCGTTCAAGATTTTTTGATCACTGCTGGAGACAGTGGCAACCCAAGGCCCTTTGTTTACTATAGTATGTGGTAAAACTTATGAATGAATGTAAAAGTGATCGGTGATTGGTTACTTAGTTCCCCATTGCTTAATTAATGGTTGGGCTTTTACAATCACTCATAATTTTTACTACGTGCTATGGTAAAGAAACGGCCTTGAGTTGCCAGCTGTCTCTAGCAGTGTTCCAAGAATCTTGAACAAAACTGTACCAATAACTTCAAATAGAAATGGAAATAAAATATTGCAGTACACAGGAGAGGTTTGTGATAATACTTATGAGTACGTATTGAAAGGTGTTCTATACTTTTATTAATTAATTAAGTATTGAAACAGAATTCAATGAGATTGTCAGGATTTTTAAAGTGTGTTTACTATGGTCTTAAACTGTTTAAAGCCAAGATACAGTACTATACTGTAGTTCTTAATTTTCTTAATTATTTATTTATAGAACTACTGTATTAAGTTTGATGACACAAGCAGTAAATTATATTCAATAATAGGAATTTCTCAAAAAATCCCCCTTCCAGGTTTTAATGGGGTGTTTAGAAAATCTTCCACTAAACCAATTCATGTAATTTTCCCACAAATATCCATGTTGCCCAAACCCCAAAGAATATAATCTAACTTAAATACTGGGAGATTCCACCACTGGAATCTTTATCATATAGTATAATATGAAATGCCAGAAACAGCTGTAGTAGACACAGTTCACTAATAGAATCACCTGTACTTTTTTTTTAATTACATATAAAATACAGTACTGTTGTGTTGGATAATATGTACTGACTTAAACTTTGTTTTCATCTAACATATTTTAGAGTATTGTAATAGATACTGTTCTATGGTGCATTTTGACATTTATGGAATACTGTACTGTACTGTATTCTATTCAGACTGTTTTAAAGAATTGTGATCTGGGACTCACTGGGCTGCACAGTTGTGGGGATGAAGGCAAGTGATTATAGTTTAGTACAGTATCTTTATACAATAATATCATATCTTTTATGAAACATTAGAACACTTTCACACATATATACAGTACTGTATACTGTGAAGCTTCCAAAGTTTAATAATATTAACCCTCTCGGGGGAATTCGACGCAAATTGCATCGCTTAGCACTCCTGTGCTGGCACAACCCCTCCTGCTCACCTGTATCTCACATAGAGAGCATCCCTCCCATAAACTGAAACAAAGGGAACAATGGACCATTGGACCACCTAACTTCCTTCCACTACCTCGTGGCAGATGCATCTTTTAAGTGTGCAATTTGGGTCTGGATCGCTCTACCCAATGTTTATTAAAATGGAAAACCCGTTCCTGTTACCGATGCAGCCAGTCAAAAGACTGCGAGGGGTGAAATTTTCGACCATGGCTCGGAGTACCGGAGGGTTAAATCTGAACTTCATACAAATCCAGTTTGTTTGGAATACATTTACTGTTCCAAGACTTCAATAAGGTGTCTTATTAAACTATTGTCCAGGTAATAATTACATTTTGACACTCGGATAGAAAATTTCATGTCAAATTTTCATGTCAAATGTTTAAGCAAAGGTTTCACATTTCCCAGATATAATGGCACATTCTTCTTTGATTTAAAGACTTAAACACTGTTAATTAAGTATTATTTTATGTTAAATGTAAAGTATTATTTGATGTTAAACTGCAAGAAGTCTACCAATAACATTTTATCCTGGTTCTGAAGATTCATTGGAAAATTATTGTTTAACATTTGAAATTTTGGATTGGCACAGTACTTTGTACGGGTATTTGTTCTTTTTGAAATTTGAGTGAGCTAACACCTTAGTTATTTTATGCTTCTTTTTTTTGTGAATACTTAACACTAATCATTTTTGTACAATTTTTATTTGTTAATTTTGAAATTTTGGTTTAGGTTACACTTAAATTTTGTACATTTTTAAATTGATAATTAGCTCACACTTTTATTTTGTTCAGGCAGTATTACAAGTGTTAATTACCTAGTACAGTTCTGTCTTTTTAACAAAATTTAAGAATTTGTACAACAGTACTGTATAAGATTTTATTCTATAGCCAAAAATGTTTTGTACATTTTATTGCAGCATTTTCTTGTAAATTTTGATGGTACAAAACTGGAGTTTCAGTAAAATTTTGATGGTCCTCTGGTAGCGGTATTGCATTTTTCCCTCACAACTGTGTCCCAGGTTCAATCCCCTGGTTGGATGTGAGAAGGATGTGATCCAGTGTGGCACTCACAGCCATCACAGGTTTTCTTTTGGTACTCCCGTTACTTCCTTTACTAATACAGTACTGTCAATGAAGGCCGTAATTTGGGATACATTTGACACTGGGTCTTCCATCCCTAAGCTCAGGCATTTTACTTTGTTAGACAAAACGTGGGGAATCATTTTAAAGGGATTTTTGCCAACATTGTCTCGGGATCATTGATTGAGGTTTGCAAGTACAGGGAGTTTGAGATTGTAATTATTGTACCATACGTAACAGTAATTTGTCATGCTAGTCCTCACTAACCTGTGCCTGTGAAACATGGTTTCTGGATGATTAGTTAATCTGATTTGTTTAATTATATCATGGTATGTTATTTCTAAGATATTTAATGTTGCTTGTTCATTGGTTGTTCATTCTGTGATTTATGGCTGTTGCTTCAGGAATTAGTTAATCAGGATTCAGCTTCATTCAGATACTGTACTTTTGGGTTCACATATTATTTAATTACTTTGCTGGTTATGTTTGATTTTAGTTCTGATAGCAATATTGGGCTGACTCCCTTCAAGGAATATTGGTTCATGAGCTTCTGATTGGGATTTAATATCCTATATCATACAGTTCTGGAATATACTGTACACTGTATATTGTTTGTTCAGTGCGCTAAGATATTACTGGTAGTTATATTTTATGTATGCATTTTTAATGCCAGGTTCAATGGACCTGCATTTATATTGCAAAGCCAAAATATGAGCTGACTAGTAAACTCAAACACAGCATAGCCCTTGTCATAGTCCAGTCCTTTTTTATATATACATAATTTATTAAATTACTAACCGTTCAGGCAATTGGTCTGTCCAGTGCTAGTAACAAGAGGAAACCGGAGTCCAGGAAACCTATGATGATGGTTGGGTCACACTTGATGATAATCTTCTTCTGTGTGTCCCAACCAAGCAGGACACAAACCCTTGACATATTGCTGAGGGGCTTTTGCTTTTTCTAAAATTAAGATATTTTAATTGTTGTATGGAAGTGTATTCTTCTTGTATAGGATATTTGTAGTGGATATGTAGTATTGAGTCCAAAGTCATTACTGATTCAAATCATTAACCATGGCATCTTATGTTGTTGGGGTTCATTTATGTGTTCATGAAATGTGTTTTAAGTTACTGTTCTTGTGGGGAATCTTGCTGGTCCCTTCTTTCTTTCCATTATCCACAAAGTGGGATTCCGTACTGGTACGGTACTCTCAGCCTTATTATTATTATTATTTTTTTATAGACATGCAGTCTTACAGTCTAAAGTAAACCACTTTTACTTCTTTTAACCATGTAAAGCTTGAAACCAGCTGATCTAATTTTCTACTTCCAAACAAGATTCTGTCTCGTGAAAATCAAACTTGATTCGGGTAAATGAACCTAAACTTGTTTTATCATCTTTATCTACCCAACCTCTTTTATTGAAATAAATTAGAGACCAACAGTTTTCACATCACAATTTAATTGTCCTTTAGCTGTAAACATGACTAAAAACAACCAGATAGATTTTACTATTCAATTAGACATCAGGAGATGTAGCCTCAGCCTACCAGGAGAATCATTTACAAAAATTATGATACATTGGACTGTATTTTCTTAAAAGTGCAAAAAATTATTGACCGTGGTACTGTACATGTAACTGATTTCTACATTGTATTCATCCCCGTGTTGGAGGGTTTGATGCAACCTTCTACCGGTAATCTTTAAGTACAGTACAGTACGTACATTCACTTTTATCATCATATTGATAGATTATAATTTTTTGCTTTATTTGTATAAATACTGTACTGTTACAATGCACTGAGTATTGATGTCAAAACTTTTATGGTGATAACTATGCCTATCTTGATGAGCATTTTTTTCCCCTCTTCATCCTTTTCTTTTTTTCAGTACCCCCGTACATGTTCTTTGATCCCCAATTGATATGTTTGTATACAGGTATTTGTCTGGCTGTCCACAAATATGAATGTCTACAGTAAAAAGCATGCAAATCAACTCGTTAAACAATTTTCAATAGATTTTCAATTAAACTTGGTACAAATACAACAGTGTGCAGTATGGTACAGTGCAGTACAGTACAGTATATATACTTACAGTTCTGTATATGGCTGGATGATATTACATACATACATGTGCCAAGTTGGATCCACTTTGATAACTTGTAGCAGAATCATGGCACCTACAGGGTAGTCTAATAAGCTGCTGCAGGGGGGCAGAGTTGTGTTAGGTAACTCTTCTCATTTTTTTTCAAGTGCAGTATTTTGCAAATTTTGTGAAAACTTGCCAGTAGGGGAAGTTACCATTAATTTTTGTTGACTCTTCTTCATATTTAATTTTCCCACTCCACAGGTCATTCAGCAAACTAAGCAACAACATTGAAAGCTGGATAAATGGACTACATGCAATGACAAGCCATGCACAAGTTCTTAAGAGGGTAAGTTAATATTCTCTACAACTATTGTACTGTACTAGCTATGTGAGGATAAGTTATTAGAGATAAATGATTATGCAGGTAAAAATCTAAATACCCCTGTACCATATATTCAGTGCTGCATAGTATATTGCCCTTATTTGGGGTATTTATTTTTTCACCCTGAGGAAATTGTTTTGAATATGTTAGTGAACCTCAGACCAATTTTCTTCAGATTTGGAGTACATTTTTTAGCTTCATAATAATGTGGTACACAGTACTCTACAGTACTGTACTGTACTTGTACAATAGTGTTTTTCTGTAGGTGTGACCCCAAAAATGTTTCACTTAAGTGTTGTAAAATACCTTTTTCATATACTGTACAGTACAGTATATACTGTACATGTACCATACTTTTTTCTGAGCATAATCTCAACAACATCTCAACCTGCATATTTAAAGTTTGGTACATACATCACACTGGGCTACCTTTAGATGGTGTTACCCACTGATAACAGTTTTGGGAGCTATTGCTCTTGTTAGTGCTATTGTTAAGGTCATTATTTCTGAACCGATTGGCATCATGTGATGTGCTTCATTGTTCCAGGATTATGTTGGATTTGATGTCAGTTTTTATATTCTTTTTGATTGTTTTTAAAATTACAGGCTGTAAATGGGATCTCAAGAATGTTTGACTAATGTCACCTGGGTTATATAAAAGAATTTATTCATTTGAACCTGTCCATCTATCTGTCTGAATACTGTATTTTTCTTATTCAAATTTAACAGCAATATTATGCAAAACATAACCAGCTTAGAGCAATCAAATATATTAGCCTTCTTTATATGCAACCTAAGATTTCCTTTTTTGTAGAATAAGCAAAGGTCTTTTCTGAGTGTGTGAACATTACAATCATGATAGTGGCAAGAATAATATCAAATGGGAGACTCAGAGAAGTGAGAAAATGTTACAAAGTTGACAAATTGAGGATAAAGAATGTGGCTGAATTATCTAAAGAAATGATTGAGATAAAGTGGTGTCATGTTAACAAGGGTGAAATAGAGATGAAGAGGAATGATGTTATTGAAAATGCAGTTGAGGTGTGTTGGAATAGGATATTAGAAATTACAGTATAAACAAGAAGAGGGAACGATGGGAGGGGAGGCTGGCAGTCCTGATCAAAGAGAAAGAAGGGAGGAGTATAGAGAAATTAAAGGGAAAACGAAGACGCTTTTAATTGAATGAAACAGAGGAGCAGATGAAAGGTAGTCGCAAGGATTTAAAGAAGACAAGAAGTTATTCTGGAGTAAACTGAATGAGGTAGAAAACTAAGAGAACAAATGTAAATGTGACTTAAAGAATAAATGAGGATATACTGCACAGTGTAACGTGGACAAAAGATGAAGTAAAAGAGAGATGTGGCGAATCTCTTAAACCACTGCTAGAGAGAGAGAGACGGAGCGTGACAGGCTCTATGCTTAACCCCTTCACCATGCAGACACCACTTAATATTTTGTTTGGCTAATGCCAGGTGATTTAATTCAGCACAGATGGGAGCCCATGTACAAGGGGTTAAGAATGTTAAGGCATCAGGAGTGAAGGTAGGAGGTGAGAATAATGAAAGAATGGATGAAGAGGAAAATATACCAAGTACATGGCTGAGTGCATGCATAGTTCTCTGTGAAATAGGAAAAAATACCAGAGTTACAAGCTAATAAGGCTTTTAAGCATACTAAGGTTAGTGCATGTTAAAAGTTATTTATGAAATTTAAAAAAGTCACATGAGCCACTTTTTTAGTTGCAATATTAGACACTACAATATATATACTGTATATATATATATATATATATATATATATATATATATATATATATATATATAAAAAAAAAATATATATATATATATATATATATATATATATATATATATATATATATATATATATATATATATATATATATATATATATATATATATATATATATATATATATATATATATATATATATATATCTCCAAAGTATCAACTGAAGATCCTCCCCAGGCTAGATTACCCCCAAAACCCCCCCCCCAAAAAAAAAAAAAAAAAAAAAAAAAAAACAAAAAACAACAAACCAAAAAAAACACTATACATATATTCAGATGTACAGTATACTGTAGTCCAATGGGGCAACATATCTGACATAATATTTTAACAGGAGACATTATCCTTGATCAAGTTTTTCACATATTGATCCCCAATGTGTTCTTCATCCGTATTAAAGGGCAGTTAGAGTTTTGTGCCTTCTATATTTCTGTTCGTGTTGAAAACTAAATGTTTGTTGGTCGATATTATAATTTATTGAACAAATTACATCGCTGTATTGTATTACAATAACTCATCAAGAGGTTGTCGTTCTGCATTATTAACCAGAGAGGGGAAAGCCTGTTCCAATAATTCCATAGTTGGGAGGCTTACACACAGTTTCCTCAAGACATCTGTCAAAACAGCACTTATCATCACCAGGGCAGTTACCATCATGAGCACAGGTCTGAGGTCCTGTGAAGACTCTTACTGGTGGACAGACATCGCGAACTGGAGGACATCCTCCAATCTTTGTAATTACTGGATCTGGGGCAGTTCTTTCATCCTCACAACAAAAAACTCTATTTTCGGGTGTTTTACACCAGTAACGACAGGAAGCAGGAGCCTGAAATTGTGGGATTGAAGACACCGCGACCACCAGTGTCATCACTGCAACACACACTACCTTCATCTGCAATTGAAAAGTACAGTGGGAATTAATCGAAAGAAAAAACATATTTGTGCTAAGTAGTGCCGGATTTTGGCCTGTGGGGCCCTATGTAGACCATGATTACTCTGAAACATAAGTAAAACGCATTTAAAAATACATAGGCTTACCCTAGGCCTAAAATATGGGAAATTTATTTTTACCTTGAATCTCTGAGTAAGCAACAGCGGATCCTAGCATGTATTCCCCTCCCCCTTCCAAAGGTTGCCAACTATTGTACTTACAACAACGGAAAACTTAACTATCCAGTGACGTAATAAAAATATTGTATGTATACCTAAAGAAACTATCCTTTTATGCTTTCTTTTCTATATTTAAAGTTGTGGCCAGTACAACTGTTTCGCCTTAATAAGTAAGAGCGAAAAGTATTTCAGCATTCAAATATATCGTAACTTTTTAAATTAAAATAACTTATTTTCGTCCAAGAAGTTGTGGGTGGGGAACCTGGAGAGCACAGAGAGCCCACCCAGTTGTGGGGGCTGGGATGGGGGAGGGGTATCTGTAAGCCCCTCCCTCCCAGAATTTTTTTTTTTAATTTGATCAGTATCATGGGCACTTTGAGGCCATGTGCACTTGACATTAGGAGATATTCTGAGGTCAATAGTAATTACTTTTTACCAGTGCCGGATTTAGACCTGTGGAGGCCCCCCTCATTATAACTACCCAAGAGGGTGGGGTGGCGAGTGAAGCAAGCCTAAACATCTGGGAGTTCCGGGGGGCTGTAAGGGGAAAATTTTGAAATTTGAACACTTCTTTGGAGAATTTTGAAGCCATATGCAGTTATATTGAGGAAATTAGAACATTGAGAAATTTTTAATTAACTGTATATTTATTGATAGTGTACAAATTCCCAACACACACACACACACACAAAAGTGAGACATGACTGGAGTCATTCATGTGGTTTCAAGTCGACCAGCCCTGATATAGCTACTACCGCACATGTCAAAAATTTTCAAGAGACTTCACAGAAAAGAATATATTATTAGTTATTACAGAGAGATGATTCTTTGCATTATTAATCAGATAAACCTCTACTCAAATAATGGTTCTGTCCAAGAATGCATGTATAGGCTTCTTTAAGTCCAAGGTCAGATAGATTCAGAATAAGTATTAACTCAACTATAAATAAAATTGAAATTTTGCATCCAATAGTAAAACAAATAAACAATTTAATGAATTTGATAAAATTATAACAAAAGTATGAACATGTTGGAAAAACAAGAATTTTAATAAAAATAACTGCCATCGACCATGGATAATGGATATATTGAACACAAACATTGATCACTTGCAAAATAGAAAATAAACATTACCTTTATTTACAGACCAGGCACTTTACGTGACCTGGCCGCTGCAAAGTTTTTGATCAGTTTTTCGAAGTCAATCTCTCTGAGGATGTCATATTCTATACTCATCAAAGCCAGGTGGCTGAGCCTATCATGACACATTGTAGTACGAAGTCTGTTTTTAATAACTTCATTTTACTGAAAGAACGTTCACCAGAACAATTTGTGACCATGAGCACCAAGTACATCAGTAGTATTATTTCAACATTTGGAAATGTATCTACAACTTTCTTGTCTATCAACAGCTTGTAAAGGTAATGTGCCATCCCTTTCTCATCATCTTCGTCTTCAAGAAATTGAGTGAAGAATGCTGTAAACTGAACAAGTTCAACTCCAGGTGTTTGATCCAAATCATTTTTGTACTCAGCAACCAATTTTGCTGCAGCTGCTTCAATTTCGTCACAATTCATTGACTCCAGTTTAGACAAGAACGCTTCTTGCTGAACATAGTTTTACGTGATGGAATAGATAAACATGAATTTTAAAGAATGAAAATAAAAATAATCCAAATGAATAAACAAATAAATAAAATATTGTAATATGTGGAGGCCCCTGGGCAGCTGCCCACTTTGTCCACTCCTGAATCCGGCCCTGCTTTTTACTATACAAAAACGCCTGAGTAGAAAACTGCATTAAAGAAAAGGTATTGGCATCTTCTGATGAAAAGGGGGGGTCCGGACCCCCGGCCCTGGATCCGCTCATATTTGCTACTTATAAAAGGCTTTAATTTTGTCAGCATGCAGTACTGTATAAAGGAGACTTATACAGTGTCTTTAATACAGTGTAAGCGTTTTAAATTTAATAAAATTGTGTTTTATGCTGTTAAGACTGCCATGTTCATCAGCCTGTTAAACTTAATACTATATCTGTTTCCTTTTAGT